CTTAATATTGCTGTGCTCAATAGAACATCACAAGATTGAAAAGTTACGAAATCACGGTATCCGTCGTGTCATATTGATATATCATTGTCATTAGGGAAAAATCAATCAAGTCATTTACCTCATCGCGACTTATCGTGTAAAAAAATAAGTATTGTATACAAGTTTTTTGTAAAAACGGTTAAATTTTCTTTATCAACAAAATTTTACAAATGATTGCATTTCGACAATAGTTTTGTCATCATAATTAATTTTCGTATACGCAAACGTATATCTGAAAAATTAGAATTGTAGAATAATGTCTGCGTGAGCTTCCCGTCACGCTTAATTACGGAAAATTGATATACGCGGTCGTAACGATTAAGACAACGACACGATTTTTGATTAATTTTCACGACCTTGCGACATTATGGCACTAATCGCGGCTCGCTGGATACAAGCGTTCGATTAAAAAAAAAAAAAATAAGCGCGTTTGTACCCAAACGAGCCACGTTATCTGTCACGTTTTTATCTACAAATTTTCGGTATTGATTCGAATGCACGCTATGCGAAACAGTACCGAAATCGATATGTGAAGTCCAAATTCCAAATAATCATTACATCAGAATAATTAATTTCAAAATTCATTTTACCGTTGTGTCAAGACTAGGATTTTGAATATAAACTCGAGCATATTTAGTCAGGTCGGATAATATTGTGCATTGAACATATGCGTTGAATACAACTCTCCGATTTCGATATTGATTTTCCGACATTACGAACCGAATAATAACATCTATTTCGGAGCCGTAATTGAACTTGAACCGATTTCACGTTTCGTCGGGGCGAATACTGTTTCGCGTAGCCTTATTATCTACCACAATCGACATATTCAATGTTACATGCGGTGACGTGTTTCTTTCTCTTTACATTATGGGAGTATCATGACCTTCGTACACGCTACTATTTACAAATCATCGTACTATCTAGAGACTGATAAAACGGGCAATCGCTGAGAGAATAAGTAATAACATCTCGTATCCATCGTTGAATTTCAGGCGGGTAAAAGTATTGATCGAGTTGAGTCGCTTTAAAAACAGTTGTATTACGGAGTGACAGTTGAGAAGTCGCTGAAATTAAATAACTGTTATTTTGCAATATAATTAAAAGAGAACAGAATTAAACATTATAGAGGAAATTCATCATTTTTGTTAAAATAAAGTAAAAAAAACATACACATATATTAAATTATGCAATCAAATAAATTTTCAGCTCTTTTAAAATGTTTGTTTCTATATACGCCTATATTAAAAGTGCATACTTTTGCTCTCCTGAATATTATTTTACTCTTCTAATTATTAGCAAACGGTTAGTTATTATATGTTCGGTAATATTTACTAAATATTGCACCAATACGCTAAACTAAATACCTTTGATTTAACTATTATCAGATGTCTTTTCAGCGTAATTTCAGCAATTTCTCGATTGTCATAATGTATAATTCGCGCACATCGAGGGAATCTAACATCAATGGTATACTCGATACAGAAACATTTATTTATCACATATTTCGCCACGGATATACTTCAACATCGAGCGTGTGTTACTCTCTCGCGTCCCTTTCGTTGCCTACATAAATCTAATATTTGGTACAGTGGTACTTATATTGGAGTCTACACTGGCCGCTTAAATCAGGAGTTCGTCATCGACATATACGCATTTTACATACGTTGTAGAGCAGCACCAATTGTTACAGGCAGCACCAATCGTTAATAAACCTAATATTGCAATTAAAAACTTCCTTGTTACAACCGGATTTTGCTGTTCTCTGTTCCGTTTTTGATTGATGTCAAAAACAAAACAACATAGATTAACATATTGAAAATCTCGAGCTGCGTATTTATAAAAAAAAAAATCGGATTAGATTCATATAACGATAAATAATAAATTTTTAACTTAATCTTCTTTCCATTTAATGCTCGCAATGCTCGCAAGTATCGTTTGTCCTTGTTTAACAAGGAGCGTTATGAGCGTTAAATGGAACGCAGCCTTAATACTATAATATCAAATTATATGTATATCTATATAAATGCTTTTGGTGTGCAATTGATTTAAGTAACTTTCGCTGAAGCAAATCGATCAGTACAAAAATTAATAATCGCTAAGGTACAATATCTTTATCTAAAACAGAGGATTTGCTTATATAAGTATAATATAATAGACATTACAAAAAAAGGAAAAAAAAACGGTTACCCAAGATGTTTAATATAACTCCTCAGTGTCAATTTGTATGGTCTAATTATTTAATTTTTTATTTGTTATCTAAATATCTAGTTACAGTTTGTGCGCACTGTGAGTAATTCATAATGTAGGAACCGTTCGAGATCGGTGATTAAACTTCTCGACGTGACTAAATCGTGACTTTACGTGTTTATATTTCGTGCTTTTCAAATATATATTTTGCGCTTTGCTTTCGTTTTTCTTAGTGCTTCTGTTTTTTTTTCTGGACCAAATCCGTCCAAGTTTGAGCTACATTTGAGCTAGACTAGTGTTCAAATCGGAAGTCGTTGTTTTCGAATCGACACTAGCCATGGAGTGAACATGAAAATACGTCATGCGACGATACGTGTTGTGCCTCGTAAGGATAATTGATTCAATTCAATTAAAAGAAAAAAATATATATAACAGGAATTACTTGAAACAGGTACTCGCTGTATATAATACTATCATTATAAATTATATTCGAAAATATTTCACTGAGCTTCTTCTTGACTAGATTCTGCAAACTTCGACAAAATATAACACTTATTAAATAACAAAATTCGTGTGCACTCCGGAATAAGATTCTTGAATACTTCATAAACTCACGTGAGCAATATTATTTATATACTCGATAACAACTGTGTAGTTTAAAAAGAAATATGTTCGTAATACGTTCTTTCTTTTAACAAATTATAAATGCAAGTTATTAAATGTGTAATGATTTATGTGCTGTAACATTCCGATTACATCTAACAATTTTATCAATTCTATAATATTATACACAAATCTATCAATTTCGCAAGTCGAGATACACAAATGTGTAGTTGTATATACATATACAGGAAATTATTATTATACATAATTATTGTCAGAAAAGTAAAATTCACTACAATTTTTACACATGACGTAAATTTGAATGCACATGAATTTTTTTTACTTACAACGTATAACGATAAGATCCTCTCACAGAATTCGCAAGAAGGAATAATAATATTAAATAATAAACAGTAATCCTCACTCTATAAAAAGCAGTCATTATGAGTTTTTTTTACTCTTTCTGCCAAAAAAACTCACAAACTGCTTTACAAAACAATACTGTAGTTTATATTCGATTGTAGACACCATTGTTCTTTACACGCAAATTTCGCAGCTGCTCATCTTTTCTCATTTACCAAGATAGTAGTTATTTATCTATCTCTAAAGCACATGTTTCAAGTTGTCTCCACCGATTGTCCTTCCAGCTACAATTCCCCTAATAAATTTGTAAGTGATGACACTTTAACAATGTTTTACACGTGTTTTATTCATTAGCATAACTATCCGCTTGATTACTGACATAAGTGACTCAAAAATTTCCATCCACGCGAGTAATTTCATTGTATTACTCAGATAAAAAAAGAAGAATCTTCAATAATAAAAATCTAATAAACGCTTATATATTCTAGTATTTAGAATATCATGTCTTAAAAATAATTATAACAAAAATTTTAACTTATATAAACTAAGAAAATACTAAATTGATAAAATTATATTTTGACAAGAACTTTTGATGGTCACTGTAAACTATAATTAAGGTTGACTTTAAATTTTCATGATAAAACCAATTGAGGAATAAGGTTTTGTTATTTACATGATCAAAAACTAAGTTATTAGAAATGTTTGATTTCCTATTAATTTCAAATTAATATCGTAATTTTTGATACTGCTTAACGATTTCTTTTTTTAAAATTTAATATGTTTCCATAATTAATTTTTTAATACATGTAGTTGAAAGATCATTCGGTGATTCTGGGTCAATACCCCGTACACACAGACTATTCTCATTGCACATTTAATAGCAAACGTGACCCTAATTCTTTATTTAAAGTGTTTATCAAATTGTACAAATAAAATTTAAGGTCACAGACAACTTAATACTAAATATACAGCGAGAATCAAGTCTTCTAAGTCAAACGCATATTACTCTCTTTATTCTCATAATACGTATTGTATTTTATGGCGTTTTCCGTACGTCTATTTGAATTTTTCCTTAAATTTGTATGAACATTGCAAAAGTTTGTCCCCGAATGAGTTCCATCATAATGTAGGTAAAGTAACCTCTCAGGGATCGTCATAAATCCACCTCTCATCCTCATAAAACCACCTCTCGCCCTCTGTTTAGCCAAAAAAGGAGTATATAGAAACGTTATTTTGGAAGATTCAATAATTAGGCACGCATATTGCCCCCCTTAAAAAAATTCGCGAGTGACCCTCCTCGCGAACAAACATTCTCATTTAGACCTTAAAAGATTTCCCTGTGCCTCACTGTTCATTCGCGTCCATGTCTCATCGCTGAGCAAAAGCCATTTCATAATTTGCGCAAAACTTCATATCGTCGAGTTGTAGCTTTTCGAGCGCCTCTAAAAACATCCGAGTGATGAAAAGTCGCGTGCCACCATCGCCGACGAGTCTTATTAATACCTTCTTCAGAACGGCTCGACTGTTCACGAAACGAGGTCGTGCGAAGTCATGCGTCTTTTCGTATCCACCGAGATCTTGTTTCGGAACTTTCCATATAACACAGATGTCCAAGGGATGTTCTGAAGAACATCTCAGAACGTCCCAATATTCTAAGAACATTCGCAGAAACATCTCTGGGATAAAGTGTACTGTAATGTGTGTTTGCGATCGGCTCAACATTTTCGGGCGATCGTGAACCGCCTCGAGCAACCCTCTTGGACGTGACAGCACAATAGCACGTTCTCTGAAGTTTCCGGCCACCTTTCAGACTCAGGCAATGTTCTGTTTTGGAAGAATCGGAATCGTTTGTAGAAATTGAGCAACGTGTCGTGGGCGGACGCACGCACGCACGCACACACGCACGCATACACGCACGGATCTCCCCGTGGCTGCCGGAAGAGCCTTTTAAATGTATCCCCGGGGCGATTTCTCTTCAAGTATTTTGTGGACGTGCGAGATCGTGTTCTCGCCATGAGTTAGTCGTGCACACGCCATCCCCTCGCCACCATTCGTTCACATCCTTATAATACTTTGGCGGACGGTCGTCGTGTAGCATGGCGCATACCCGGCACCAAAAATACGTGTTAATAAATTCGCCGGTACCCTTCCAGCGAAAATACGAGTTGTACAAGTCATCGTCGTGGTCCAATCGATGCAGATATTCAGCGAGCTCTTTCGGCGACTCGAATTCGTCTACATGGATGTAGGAACGATACGGTGAGCTACGCGCGTAATCCGTCGGATGAGCCCCCATCACGATAGGCAAAATATTGTGCCTGCACATTCAAGGAAAAATAGATAATTCGAGCAGTGATAATATTCCAAAGTATAAAAACCGGTAATTACAATTGTGAGAGAAAAAGAACGCGCAATTGTGACATGAAAAGAATCGTATTACATCGCATGTTTCACGCTTCTGAATTGAGACGGTCGTGTCCAGTTCGGGAGCTTAATTAATACCGCGCGAGCAGCACGCGTTTCTATATCCATTAAGCGAGTAGGGAAGATTAGGTAACGCGAGTTGGCACGCGACCGCCTTATTCGAGATACCGCACAAGTTGGCAAAGGTTGCCGACCTCTGGGTGAAATGATCGAGAGCGTATTAGGTCGGTCAACTTACATTCGCTGCTCGCATCTAAAATACCGTATCTCTCTGTGTATGAATTGTATGCGCTAATAAGAGAGTGAGAGGATAAGACGGTGAGAAAGAGAAAGGAGGAAGAGAGCAATAAATACCATCGCACGTACCCAAGACCATTAACGAAGAACTTCTCCGTGATGTAGTCTTTGCAGTTGGAATTCTCGAATGCGAGATAGAATTTGTAGTCCTCGTCGAGCATGTCGAAGCACGTTTGCGACTGCGACCGCGGGCAACGCAGACTGCCGCACGCACCGTAAATGTCCACTTGGATGTATTTCGAGAGTTCCCTGGCATAATGCATACGCTGATTTCGGGGATGGCAGTTGGAAACGAACCAGGCGACCTGATTAAACAGCGATGAAGAAGAAGGCGAATGTCATTTCTGATAGTGTAATGATTTGAAAACTATAAGTATAATATTTGCAAAAATGTATAACACGATTGAGATTTTAATAAGTGTAATTTTTAATATTTTTTATTTCAATTTTTATATAAATCTTAATGTTTCTATTATAATTTAATTTTTATCTGAAGATAATGTTTCTGTTGCTTGTAAATTAACATGATAATAAATCATATTGAAGAATAAGTGTTATAATTTTAAACAATATCAATTCTTATTGGACCGCTTTCAAACCGAGTGAGACAATGCCGCAGCGATACAAGCTGGATCACGGATGCTTCTAAATAATTGCGTGCGAATTTATATACTACGTATGTAATTCTTCGATTACGCGCCGAAATTTTTTCAGACTTGAAACAAAGCAATACTAATAAACTATCGCAGTAATATTACAAGTTAATTTAACGACCAATTTATCAATTATCGATGCTTTTTACGCATCTTATATCGATCTTAATAATGTTGAATAACGTATTAAAAACTGTATATCTTATAATCTTTTTATTTATAATTTTACTTTATCAAACAAATATTATTTTTATTGCATATAAACATATTTTATTTTTCAAATATTAATTAAAATTAAAATTTTTTTAATTTATTAAGTTTATATAAAATATATATTAATTAAAATTATTATTTAAAAAATTTAACGGTATTTTATTTAAAAATGCTGAATAAGTAAAAGCTATTTCTGTCCTTAAAAAATATATAATTATATTATTTTATTATTTTAACTATTGATTCTCAGACAATTCAAATTTTATTAAGGTCTTACGATTAATCTAAACGTTTTACCTTTTTTGTTTTATTTGCTGCATAATTAAATGTTTGTGGAATCTGTGTGATACTCGAATCATAATATTGCCATCTTTCGTAAGGTGCCACTACATCACTGTCGCGCCGATATGTGGCAGTCCAATTGACAAGAGCGCTCTTTACGGTTTGCGTGTGATAAGGACATTCTAAAAAATACAGCATCCACACCTGTTGAAAATTATATAAATCATTTTATTACATATAAATAATATATATTCAATAATAAATTCTCTCTTATATGTACGCGATATAACTACATATATAAGCAAAGTTCAAAGGCGAATCAATGGCTGAGTATAAAAGTGACCTGATTTTCTCGGGTCGCAAAAATTGATATGCTTGTGTTACATCGGATACCTGATTGTAAGACCTTCGTCCCACGTGTGTGATGTAATCCTTAAATAGAATAAGATCGGCGTCGTCCGGATTGTCGCGGACGATCGTGCAAGTATTCACCGGGCAGCGTTGTTGGAAGAAAATGTCAGGACCGATTTTGGCTTCGGCCATCCCGTGAGGAATCATTATTTTTTTCAATGGATGATCACTGCCTGTTTTGTTGTAATCAGGTGGCACGAACATTAGCTGCAAAATTATTTATGACGTTAATATACTATTTCTGCGCAGAATCGTTTAGTCGAGAAGAATTATTGATTAAATTACAAAAAAAAACTTTTTTGCGTATATATATTTATGTAGCTACGTATAACTTATACGCTCAGCAATCAACAAAGTACTTAAATATTATCTTATAATTATATTTTTAATTCTCTTAAAAGTCTAAAACAATTTTTTCAATGTACATTATTCGACATCAGCAAAAACTAAAGCCAATAATAGTCTTATATTTATTTATAAATGTAAGACGTAAATTGAATTTATTATATTTTCCATGAAGTTAAGGTTTGTCACTGTTACGTTGATTATATGTTAAGTTGATTGTAAAAGCAATAAAAACGCGAAAATTCGAAAGTTTTCAATATTTTGTTGAAAAAAATTGAGAATGTAATTTAATTATAGGTATAATAATCATGATGCAATACAGTAAAATTAATTTAATATAATAACAATTTTGCTGACATTTATTTCTCTTAAATTTTTTGTGAAAATTAAGTTTACATCAAAAAATATTAATAAAGAATATAATTATACATAAATATATATAATTGAAGAAAATTCTCAATATTTATATGCCTGATTTTCATAAAAATCAATTTATAATTAATAATGTATTAAATGTAAGTAAATAAATAAAGATATATATATATATATATATATATATATATTATCAATGAAATTTAAAATGTAATTTCGAAAATTTTTATACAATTATATCAGAATTACCTGATTAGTCACACGATCATCGTAAGCAGCTTCCTCCGGCCACAATTGAGCTAATCTTCGGCCAGTACTGCGAGTTCTTATTGCCGGATACGGTCTTCTGGTTCCTCCTTTCATGTACCAAGGTTTTCGCGATGGATCTTGGTCTATCGAGTTTTCGCTCAAGCTCGCGGTACCATTTACATTTAATACCTTCGAATAAAAGAGAAAAAAGAATGTATAAATAAACAAAAATATATAATCTTTATATGACACTGTCATTCTCTGCTATAACTAAAAAGACAATATCACAAATTATAGATGTTATTATTAAACTAGAAAATATTATGAATAATATTGCATTCAATAAATTTCATAGTAATGATAATATTTTATGAATCAATTACCTCTTTTTCCACTATTTATAATACTTAAATAATCGCATGTTATCAAGCATTATATATGTGTATATATATATATATATAATATTATCTATTTTACATGGCATATAAAGTAATATACAGATACAACTTTTTATATGTATAAAATAGATAATATTGTAATACATAATATATATGTATATATGATCTATTATATTACTGTCAAATTTAGTTTATTAATTCAAACTTTTCTTAATGTACATACAATGTGCTTTTTGTTCTATCAGTATTTGTCCTATCAGCAAATGTAAAAATTTACGCGATTAGTTAAGTGTAGTTTGCAGCTTTTAAAGTTTCTAAGTGTAATATCATGATTTATGCACACATGAGCATATAAGTTTTTTTTCTTTTACAGTATATTCTTACTAGAATACATGCCTTGAAAAGTGGTAAGAAAAAGTTAAAACTTTTTCGTTTTAGATACAGATAATTAGAAAAAATAAGTTAAAATACTGCTACAGGCAATTAGACTATTAAGCCATTCTAAATGCTTCATGATATATCGTATTTTATAATTTCCAATTTCCAATAATCTGAGGCGTTAATTATATCTGCATTCAACTTTGCTATTACTTGAACGTCCATTTAGTAAAATAAACATTAAATAGATGTTACAATAATATTCCAAATATTTTTTTTAAACTTTACAACGTATCTAATAATTGTGAAAAAAACATTGAAATTTAAAACGATTGTTCATTTAAAATTTGTTTACAATCGCTGAATCTCATAAAAATTATTATTTATATTTTATTCGAATCATTATAATTTTCTTTATTGTATTTTTATTGCTAACTATAATAAATTACGCGATATATAATACTAGCAATATGGAAACCCAATCGAAAAAGAGGAAGCCACTAAGTTCGAAAAATAAGCATACGCCTCATATTCTTTTAAGGTGCAAAAACAGGCAAGACGACACACGGAAAAAGTAACTATCGTTTAGAATTTCATGGGAATTATCGATAATAACTATGTTATTCATGTATATCTATACATTACTTGACGTATATTTTGATCGTAGAAATTTTTTGATACGTATTTTAAAAATGTAAAAGATTAGAAACTTTCGTTTAGTTTAAAAATATTTTTCCGTGTACATGTCGTTTTAGAATTAATCGACGCTACAATTGACCGTACCTCGGACGAAAGTCTTTTCCTCACTCGCTCCCGAGTGCGTAATACTCGCATCGTCGGCTTCTTCGATTTCAAAGGCCAATCGGATTTTATCTGCGAGCGAAATTTATTTTTATTCCTTTAATCGTAATATATATTTATTTTACAATCATTTGTACTATTTACATTTCGCACACTTTCTTCTCTTTCTCCATCTCTTTTTCTCTCCTTCCATTTTATCAAAGATATATAATTACAGTGTATCTAATGTAGATAACACAATCGTAAAAGATTATTATAATCTTAAAGAAACTTAATTCGCGCTTAAATATTATGATAAGCAAAAAATATATTACATTAGCGAACTTTTATCCAATACTTTGATTTTGATCGATAAAAAATATTATGTTCATACAGATCGACATAATATTCAATAATATACTTTTATTCTATTTTCTTCCAAAAAGATATCGATTTACAATTATAACTGATACCGCAGAAATATCTGCAGCTTTGAATAAATCAAACAATGACGCAACGGGGTATTTCACATGTCTCATAGGAAAATATTGCAGTACGAATTTATGGAATACATCGATATTATATGAATAAATTACATTATGTTCTTATTAATATTTATTCGAGATGTTTTTATTCACACACAATATTATGTATTTCATATTTTTCAAAAAGAATTGCTGTAATTTGAAAATAGTGTATTGAGTAATTGTAATGTACAATTTAAAAAAAAAGAGATAAATTTTATTAAAATGAGGAAGACAAAATCTTATGTTATGTATTGCCAATAAGAAAATAATAATCTAGAATATATATAAGGCAATAGGAGTCAACCGCAGGTTGTTATATTGCGACATTAACTTAAACAATAATTTACATTACATATGCACGTTTCGATTCCAATTTGAGTCATCTTCATCAACTAAATCCACCGCAATAATATTGTTTGTGGAACAAAGACAAAATAAAGATATTATTGCGGTAGATTTAGTTGATGAAGATAACTCAAACTGGAATCGAAACGTACATATGTAATGTAAATTATTGTTTAAGTTAATATTTCGCAATAAAACAATATACATATATATATATACTAGATTATTATTTTCTTATTGTATTATTAAGGAGTTTATAATTTTATTGTTGCTTAATTATTCATTATATATTGACAATTATAATAGTCAATTTCTATAAATAACTATACAGATATGAGCACTTCTGGGACGGCAAAAATTATTTTTGCATGCAGGTGACTAACTTTTTTTTGTATGCTTCTAAATATTACAATATTGTTATTTTATTCCAAATTTAGAAAACGAAGTATTGCAAAAAAAGGTACATTTTTTACGTAATTGACTATTTTCTCCGTGTAATCAGATAATAATGGCTCTCACATCGATTAATCTAGAACAATTAATAATTTAGCACATACCTTCGGCATGTCGCCGGTAACTCGAACAGCCTGTGGCTGACCGGGATGTGGCCGCATGCTGTGCCATATTTCGTCCTCTCGCAGAAGATTTAGCAGAACAATCAACGTGCCCGTCAGACATAGCACGTAGAAAAAGTATCTCTTCAGAGAGAAACGCGGCAAAGCCATACCTCCTAGTTCCCTATCTGTCGGGCAAGTTCCTTATCTAGCCATGCGTCACTTAGCTCCACGACATTCGGCTACGCTGTAACGAAAGTTAATTAAAAATGAATGAGATACTGATCGATCTTTACAAATAATCCGGAAAGAACACACACGAGATAATCTAAACTAAAAGATAATTCGTGAATAATACTTTGCTAACGATGACATTAACAAATCTCTCAATTTAAGAATTCAGAGATTCTTTAATGTCCTTTTAATATACCTCTTATAATATCTCTATCTTCTCTAAAAAATATTCGAAAGCTTTTTGTATGAAATAAAAAACAGATTGTATAACGTAGTAAAAATATGTTTAAAAATGTAATTTTATTTTGTATGTAAATTTACAGTACAAAAAAAATATCATACACATTTATAATAAAAGACATAATAAAAGTACAGGAAAATAAACTTTAGTATTTTATTTTAAATTTTTTTGTGTATCAAATGCCGTTTGTTTTTCAAGATATGTTCCATTTCCGTGCATGAATGCATATATAGAAGATAAAATGATATACAGATTTTAAATTACATCCTTATCTCATATTAGATTTTTCGTTTTACATGACATGATTAACTTCGAAAATATTCATCTAAGCAAAAATTCATTCATCTAAACAAAGCAGTCCAAAAAAAACTAAATAATTCTTTTTATAAATAATGAATACCATGTAAAATTTTATCTAAATTCATTTATTATAATATGTAACAAGAGTATAAATTATATAAGATAATTAAGTACATTATGATTAAAAAATTATAATTAATATAATATATATAATTTATTATATTATATTATAAAATTAAAAGATGTATAATAGAATACATATGAATATTATTAGGCATTAAAATTATCTTGACACTCTCAACACCGTATTGGCCCCTACTTTACTTATTTAATTTTTTCGTATATAACGATCTAGAGATAGATCTTATTTACATCCAGTACTAAATTATTCGACTTGTACTTTCTATTAAATTATCTTAATTTTGGCGATGTATATAAGCGTATACTCCATATGGCTATTTAACTAATCATATAGATGGGTACTGTACCAGCTTAATACACTTTCTTTAAATGTATTAGAAAAATTAAGATAATTTATCAAAATTAAGATAATTCATAGAAAGTTATGAGTTAGTACCCGTATCAATGTGAAAACGAGGACATTAACTTATTATTGTCGTATCAAATAGATACTAATTATATAATAAACAATAGAATTAGAATAATCACACAAACAAAAATTAGATAAGTTTTAAATTAACACATTAATCTAATAATCTATTATAATAACGAAAATTATTCTTGAATAGTTCATATATAGAACATATGTATAAATATATTCGAAGGCGCAATATGTTATCCAAGAATACTGATAAAATTCGATAAGATTGCATAACCTTGCTTAATTTCCGGAACATTTTGTAATTACGCGATATAATAATCGCCGCTCTTAAGAACCTTAATCATTATATGTAATGATTCGTTATTATATCATTCTTGCATATAAACTTTTCAAGCACCATCAGGCTTGACAACACTGATCCTCATTAGCAATATTAAAACAGATAAAACATTACAACTTCCCGAATAGCATAATATTTTAAATACGATGGCTATCATTCGCGATATTATAAAAAGAGATTTCTCTCGTTCTAAATTAACGTTGAAACACTGACGGATGTTTTTCACTGCACAAGATATAGTGATTCGATAAATTTAATTGAACATTTCCGAAGGATGCAGAGGCACGTGCCCATGGATTTTACGCGACACAGAAACGTTCTCTTGCGATTTATCGATAACTCGCTCATCCCTTCATTCGTTAGCTCTGAACAGCTCCGGTTTGAAACTCGATGTCATTAAATTAATTTCATCACGAGATAGCATCCACTATCTGGCTGCATCGTCAGCTGTCGCACGCCCCCGTATAATCGATACGACACGCGAGCATTGATTCGCTTTCGAATAAACAACGCGCACGATACTAACGTATACTCGTTCAATATTTATACGTTGGTAATCTACTATTATAATCTCTCGTCATTAGTGTACGCCATCGTACATACAAGACAGATATCCGTATTGTCAAATAATGTACAATTATTATGTATAATTTATACTAGAATTGCTCACGTTAATCATTCTTGCAAATTGCAAATATCGTCTTCAACTTGTTGTTAGAGGGAGAAATAACGTGTACATTTTTCACGTAACGACATTTAAGTTATGATATGACACGTTTAACCTGGTGACCTTATTACTGTCCCTCGTGTAACAGTCTCTGAATTTACGAGTATCTTTTCTCTTCTTTTCATTAATTTCAAACTGATCTCCTAAGCTTCATGTCATAAAAGATATAGGCTTGATTCGATTCGATTCATCGGCATCGCGTAATTCTTTTCTTCCACAATTGGAAGAATTATTCTATCTTCTATATCCGTCCAAAAAATCACAGGAGACCACGTTCTCGATTTCATTAATGTTAAAGGTTACGGTAATTATATCGCACCTGGAATTCTGCACTCACTCGCGAACACATATGATACGCGTTGAATACAAATCGATACATTTTAACACGCACTCGTGTGAAAGTGACACAATATGTTCTGAAAAACATTCCTAGAATACTCTTTGAGGATCCTCGGCCCGACGGGCACACAATCGTTCGCTCGACTGCTAAACGAATCATCCTGCCGGCTTGTGAAAAGGTGAACGATGGATCGCTGCGTTGCAACATTCTCTCATGGTTTTACCTTTGACCCATGATAAAGTTCACGTTCACTGGAACGAGAGCTACACGTGTAAACCCAAAGTGTGAGAGGCGCAAAGAGAGTTTGATTCATCGCTGATGTAGCACAATATTAACGTTCATATATATTCGTGTTTCTTTTGTAAACAAAGATCTGATAGAATTTAATGCAAAATAACTTTAAAATAGAAAAAACTATAAATAAAATAATACAATAATGGATAAACGATAATCAAAGTCGAGTTGTAATTAGAGCGTTATAATGGATAGGGTTATTCAATTAACAATATTTAGTTATTATTCCTATAAATTGTAAGTAAATACTTTCTTGCTGTGGTATCTTAATTCGTGAATTTTAGCACATTCTATATTATACTTGTTATTCTTTAGGAGTCGTATATAAAAATACAGTTTATTTTTCAATTTTATATAATAGAAAAAAATGTAGGTATAAATAGTGTAAATATAATAATATGCAAATGAATTTTTAATAATATATATAATAATAATTATTATATATACTAATATTGCTACTGTTATATCGATGTTATCAAATTAATCACACTTTAAATAACACATTTTTACTTTTATTTATTTACATGTACTTTTTATATTTTATAAGTGGAAAAAATTAAAATTATCAAAATTATAAAATAAGTATAATATAAAATGTAAAAAAAATTGTAAAATGATACAAATAATATGTAAAATATGTATATGACTTGTAATAGAAATACATACAATGATACATACCATTTTTACAGTATAATCTTTTAATTCTTTTGTACAATTCAATTTGGAAGCATAATTTTAATCGCTTACATTAAAATTCCAAATTTATATTTCTTATTTTCACCTTGGTTTATAATTTATAAAATAAACATATATTATGAATCGATCTCAATGATATTGGCATTCAAATCGTAATAATAGTAATATAGATATTTATCCAATACGGTAAAATTAAAGATCCTTTACTTTGTAGTTATATAAAAATAGAAATGTGTACACACACACACACACACACACATACACAGTGTCGTTATAATATACAGTTTTAAAAGTATTTTAGTGTTCACTTCCAGTTCTCACAATAAATAAAGACTGTCCCCTTTTTAGCATTTTATACATAAAAGATATACACACATACACAATATAACGGAATCACTGAATGTTCTGTGATTCTCGAGAGAATGGCACTCAACTGCACCAGTAAATTGAAAGCATAAATAATACGAACCTTTACACTTTTCTCCGTCGGAAACCGTATTTCACTTTATTAAGACTGAATTTCCATCGACTTAATTGTATTCACGTAATTTTTAAATATCAACGTCGCGCTCTAGTCCGTCAAAATTAATTTATATATATGAGAAGAACACTTCTGATAATTTTCACATGATTTACGCGCGATAACGATCGTATTTTCTCTTTTCCTTTTTTTTTTTTTATAATCGTTAAAAAATTTCATCTGATTGGCAAAGTTTTTCGCGAATACACGTAGTTTATTAAAAAATTAAATAACATCTTTCCTTTGATATAAAATTTTTGCTTAATTGGCGTGAACCTTCAATTTGTAAACTTCGAACGAGGAATAAAATATAGATCACTCGATCAGATGGAATGCGAACTTTTTGTATGACATCTCTTATCCGGATTCTTCCAACTTTGCCTTTACTTTATGTTCTTTTCACACGATAGTGTTAAACTTGCAGTAACGCACGCGCCGTTGTCACAAACCTGTGCACAGACAGACCGTCCGAGTATTACTGTCCATTATCGGGATGCCGAACGTGTTGCATCGCAACCTTATCACTCGACTTTGTAATAGAATAGATTTACTGACATAAAATTGTAGAATATAGACACTTTGCGTTCTTCCTTTGTTGTGCCAAAAATAAATTACATTTTTATTTACTCATAATCACAAAATTGAAAGTTAATGAATTAAATACATTATCTAATACTGTTAACGTTACTTTGGCTATCTTATCATTGCATGCTATTAACACATGCTAGTAACGTTTTGTACGTTCCTGTTTTTTTTTATGTCTCAAGGTTAAAACTGGTTAATTATAGTCATTATTGCAACATTATGATATACACGTAAGCCATGCAATTCTTTAAACGTTGAGTGTTTATCAAACGTAATAACTAATCTTAACTAATTTTTCTAACTTTTATTTGATGTGATATTATTCCAATCCG